CAAATGTCAAGCTATTACAAACTTCATCTTCACAATGTCAAGCTATTACAAACCACATCTCCAAAATGTCAAGCTATTACAAAAACATCATCTTCACAATGTCAAGCTATTACAAACTTCATCTTCACAATGTCAAGCTATTACAAACTTCATCTTCACAATGTCAAGCTATTACAAACTACATCTTCACAATGTCAAGCTATTACAAACTTCATCTTCACAATGTCAAGCTTTTACAAACTACATCTCCAAAATGTCAAGCTATTACAAACTTCATCTTCACAATGTCAAGCTATTACAAACCACATCTCCAAAATGTCAAGCTATTACAAAAACATCATCTTCACAATGTCAAGCTATTACAAACTTCATCTTCACAATGTCAAGCTATTACAAACTTCATCTTCACAATGTCAAGCTATTACAAACTTCATCTTCACAATGTCAAGCTATTACAAACTACATCTTCACAATGTCAAGCTTTTACAAACTACATCTTCATAATGTCAATCTATTACAAACTTCATCTTCACAATGTCAAGCTATTACAAACTACATCTTCACAATGTCAAGCTTTTACAAACTACATCTTCACAATGTCAAGCTTTTACAAACTACATCTTCACAATGTCAAGCTTTTACAAACTTCATCTTCACAATGTCAAGCTATTACAAACTACATCTTCACAATGTCAAGCTTTTACAAACTACATCTTCATAATGTCAATCTATTACAAACTTCATCTTCACAATGTCAAGCTATTACAAACTACATCTTCACAATGTCAAGCTTTTACAAACTACATCTTCACAATGTCAAGCTTTTACAAACTACATCTTCACAATGTCAAATAGTGATAACCAGGGTTAAAGTAAATGAGGGTTTAGTCCTTTACTAGAATTCAAAATCAGAACACACGCCTGGTTATAAAGATATGCCATTAAATTGGTCCAAAATCAAAATCAACCAACGCAAATCTTTGAGAAATTCACTAGTGAGATGTACATACTGATGATTAGCAGTATACTTGCTTAAAAGTTCTAAACACCGACAAATGAATAAACGCCCACTTCGTACACAGTCAGCAATGAAAGCAAGTTTACCAATTAATTGTTGAAGTTCACGTTTAGTACAACTACGACGTCTAGAAAAAGAGTTCATCAATTGACAAATTTCCTGAATTTTCCCAGAAGGAATACTGACAGTCACAGAGACAGAGTCATATTTCTTCGCTAAGAAAATTATTTTAGTCGCAGGCAAAAGGCATTTTTTGGCACTAGTCTCTAATCCAAGGCAATCAAGAAGGTTCGAAGCAAGAGAAAAGTCAGATGAAGACTTCGAAGGAGAGCTGTAATCAACGTAATTAACTACTGCAACACCCTTATGCGAAAGGATGAGAGCAACAGCACTGGTTGTGCGTTGGCAGGCTTGCGACGAAGGGCGCATTCCAAATATCAAACGAGTTTCAATGTAAATGTTATTCCTCCACTTAAAACATTGGAGGTCTAAATCATATAGTTGACGGAAAGCACGAGATAAATCTAATTTCCAGACGTGGCATCCAGATCCAAAGAAATGAATAAGATATACAAACGCATCAAATTCCGGGTATCTTAATTTTATAGGATCACCAAGGGCAAGTAAAATGCAAATCAGCATCTGTATAATTAAGTTTTAAGTTCTGAATGATTAAATTCTGGAACAAAGTTAAAGCCATCACTAGACTCACAAGGAAACACACCGAAACTCGGGAAAGAATCATCCATACACATGGAAGTACCAGGATCGTTCACACTGCTCAGGGGTACCTGAAGGAGACCATCACACGTCGAACGGGAAAATAACACACCCGAATCAGGGGAAGTAGGAGATGAATAAAATACACCGTCAGTCGACAGTGGAGTTAAAGAAACAGGCACAGGCTGTCATTTTCTAGTACAATCTTTAGAAGGATGCTTGACAGCAGTGTCATTAATAGAGAGGCCTTGTCGGACACACTTTTGACACACATGTAACAATTTCTTAGCACCATACGCCCAAAATGATCATCCGCGTGGAAAGGCACCACATATAGGTGGGAGTCTGGGTCTGTCCTTATCCTTATAACTGTGAGAAAAGGGAGACACTAGAGTTCGAGCTTGTTTATCTGTAAACGAATCTGTAAACAAAAAAGATTTTTGTCCTCTTTCAATACTTCTCAATACCTCGGCTTGAAAATTCTTAATTTCGGCCAAGGTAAATTTCTCGACCAGATATAGCACATTTATTAAACGTTTCTGTCGTAATGATGAATTATCAGTCCTCTCATTGTTCAAGAGTAAAAACAACTCTCCACGTATAAGTTGAATTAATGCAAACTCCTTATCACTATAATTCACAGACTTCAGTTGAGCAAATTCGTGAGGTCATGGAACATCAAATAAAACTCTGTCTTTAGCAGCTCGTGCTTCACCGGACACTGCCTAGGGTTTATCAATAGATCTGAAAACAGGATAATAATTACCTGAAGGCGATGGGTTATCGGGAGAAGGTTCATTATCAGAATCAGAAGATGCCAAAACACCATCTAATTTACGTCGCTGGATATCTGTGGATTTTGACACAACCTCACGATGATCACCAGCAGTGGTAGCCCTAAGAGATGATAGGGTAGGTAACTTGATTCCAATGCTTGGATCAGCAGTTCTGGTAGTAGTAGAATCAGAAGTAGTGGAAAGTAGATTGTCCAAATGTTGATTCTTTAAAAAGGGGTTTCTCTTGAGCAAGAAATCCTGCTCTAATCGCTTGTTCTCAATGGTGAGAGATCGTATAGCTGCCGTGGAAGGTGCGGAGTAGATGTGCTCGGATCAGTAGGTAGTTCTCTGCCATCCTTCAACGCTGTGTTAAGAGGTAATTTTGGCCTCACACCAGGAGAATCGTCACTCAAAATATAGTTTTCTAGATGTACAAGAGCAGTAGCAGATCTTTTAGGCCGGTTTGAAGCCATTACAATTCGTAAAAAAAAACTTGTTTTTCTAGGAAAAATAATCTCCAGAAAAATAAAATAATCTTTCGAACACGCTGAACGAGGCGGAAGTGAAGCGCCCTCAAGTGATAGACGCAATCAACCAGATAATAGCCTAATGTAGATGTTGACACCCAGTCAATTAATTGGCCACAATTATCACGTACCGTATCATTGTGCACCATTTCTCGACAGTGAATTTTTATACAGACAGCTAGTTCTCGGGACACTATAGCTGTGTAACGAACGTAATCCATTATTGTGTTCCGGTTCCATTAAAACGGAAATTCCCGGGATAGCACATTATTGTGTCAGATCCAATAAGATTTTGTAAGGTAAGATGATTGATTACTGTTTAATTGAATGACAAATTATAAAGATATCAGAATTTGAAGGCAGAAAAACAAACGATTAATTTATATATGTTGCTATGATAATATTTCTTATAATGTACAAGTATCAGGTAGTTATATTTTACTATTGTATTATTAATTATATATCCTGAAGGGTAAAAGACTTAATCTTTAAATGACATTTAGAAGAGAGTAATCAATCTATTACATTAAATAAATAAAAACACTATTATGGATATACTATACTCCTCTCTTTAAATTTTGCAATGTTTCAATTCACATATAGGAATCATAAGAATTGAAACGTTGCAAAATTAAAGAAAGGAGTTGTATATCCATAATAGTGTTAATATTTATTTAATGTAATAGACTGATTACTCTCCGACTACACTGTTTTACTGAATCGAATTTTAGCAAACATTTTCTTATGAATTGAAATATCAACTACAAATTACTACTGAGAGTCTTAGATTGTCACTGGGTTGATGAAAATGTTAACCACTGGAAAAGTTGTTAATATTAAACATGATTTTATAGAGAGAAATTTTCAGTTTGAATAGTAGCCTAGGTCATTTTCGCATGAATTTTCTGGAAGGGAAGTGTGTCTATATCAAATGTAAAATCATTGAACCAATTATTTTTATTAGGACTCTTAAGATTCTAAGACAAATGGCAAACAATTTCATTTTAAATATTTATGAAATGAGAGAAAAATTCAAATTAAAGCTCAAAGTAGTCAGAGTGTAGCCATAATTTTATTGCAGGTAGACATACAGAAAGCTTGTCAGGTAAAGTAACATACGCCCATTGCCCACTGGCAGCAGAGTATTAAGGGATTCAAATACCAATATCTTCATAATACAAATCCAAAAGCGATCAACCCATTATTACCAAATTCCAGCTTGACCCAGATCTTTTCAATATATATATGCATACCGAGTTTTATCAAGATCTGATCTAAAACTGCAGTCTCTATCGTACCTTCATGCCGAATTTGACGCGTTTTTTCAAAGTCATGGAAAATAACTACAAAACCATCCCGATGTTAAATATATGCATACCAAGTTTCATCAAAATCAAATACAAGGTGTACCCTCTATCGTGACTCTTACAAGTCAAGGCCAGTACCTCTGAAACCGTTCATCCGATTATGACAAATTTTGAGTTCTCATCAATATATACATGCAAACATCAAGATAAAAACTGTAGCGTCTACAAGAAATGTTAACGGACTGACCGATCGACTGAAGAACAGGTATGACGGCAATATGTGGCCATATTAGAAAGTAGACGTGTAAGAAGTGTCTTGGCTGAATGAATTTAACAGTGAATTTGTATTATTTTGTTGATGTTGTTATAGTGACCTGTTTAATTATTAAAACATGGTGGGTGATTTCAACAGATACATTCTAATAACAATTCTATTCTTCTCCTCGTTAATGGATACAATTTTAATTAGTGATTTGTATTGTGTCGGAAGGGAGAAATTCATTGATCAATAGAATAAGGAATTGTGAAAAAGCTTTCTAAATTTTTTATGTGTATCACGGATACTGATAGCATTGATAATGACCATTTCAATTTCCCATCAGATATCTATCTTTCATACAATTCCACAATTCTATAAGTGTTTGATGACGTCACTAGATCTCAACATTTTCTTTACCACATAAGGCACAAGATTACTGATGTCATCAAACAAATAGTATTAGTGGAATTTCAGGAAACACTGACGTCTGATTGAAAATTGTAATGGTGCAAATCGATTCCATAATTTCAGACTGAAGGATGTTTTTAATATTGTTATATCTATAATTTCAGACTGAAGGATGTTTTTAATATTGTTATTTCTATAATTTCAGACTGAAGGATGTTTTTAATATTGTTATATCTATAATTTCAGACTGAAGGATGTTTTTAATATTGTTATTTCTATAATTTCTGACTGAAGAATGTTTTTAATATTGTTATTTCTATAATATCAGACTGAAGGATGTTTTTAATATTGTTATTTCTATAATTTCAGACTGAAGGATGTTTTTAATATTGTTATTTCTATAATTTCAGACTGAAGGATGTTTTTAATATTGTTATTTCTATATTTTCAGACTGAAGAATGTTTTTAATATTGTTATTTCTATAATTTCAGACTGAAGGATGTTTTTAATATTGTTATTTCTATAATATCAGACTGAAGGATGTTTGTAATATTGTTATTTCTATAATTTCAGACTGAAGGATGTTTTTAATATTGTTATTTCTATAATATCAGACTGAAGGATGTTTGTAATATTGTTATTTCTATAATTTCAGACTGAAGGATGTTTTTAATATTGTTATTTCTATAATTTTAGACTGAAGGATGTTTTTAATATTGTTATTTCTATAATTTCAGACTGAAGGATGTTTTTAATATTGTTATTTCTATAATTTTAGACTGAAGGATGTTTTTAATATTGTTATTTCTATAATTTTAGACTGAAGGATGTTTTTAATATTGTTATTTCTATAATTTCAGACTAAAGGATGTTTTTAATATTGTTATTTCTATAATTTCAGACTGAAGGATGTTTTTAATATTGTTATTTCTATAATTTTAGACTGAAGGATGTTTTTAATATTGTTATATCTATAATTTCAGACTGAAGGATGTTTTTTTTATTGTTATTTCTATAATTTCAGACTGAAGGATGTTTTTAATATTGTTATTTCAATATTTTCAGACTGAAGGATATTTTTAATATTGTTATTTCTATAATTTCAGACTGAAGGATGTTTTTAATTATTGTTATTTCTATCATTTTAGACTGAAGGATGTTTTTAATATTGTTATATCTGTAATTTCTGACTGAAGGATGTTTTTAATATTGTTATTTCTATAATTTCAGACTGAAGGATGTTTTTAATATTGTTATTTCTATAATTTCAGACTGAAGGATGTTTTTAATATTGTTATTTCTATAATTTCAGACTGAGGGATGTTTGTAATATTGTTATTTCTATAATTTTAGACTGAAGGATGTTATTGATATTGTTATTTCTATAATTTCAGACTGAAGGATATTTTTAATATTGTTATATCTATAATTTTAGACTGAAGGATGTTTTTAATATTGTTATTTCTATCATTTCAGACTGAAGGATGTTTTTAATATTGTTATTTCTATCATTTCTGACTGAAGGATGTTTTTAATATTGTTATATCTATAATTTCAGACTGAAGAATATTTTTAATATTGTTATTTCTATCATTTTAGACTGAAGGATGTTTTTAATATTGTTATATCTATAATTTTAGACTGAAGGATGTTTTTAATATTGTTATTTCTATCATTTCAGACTGAAGGATGTTTTTAATATTGTTATTTCTATCATTTCTGACTGAAGGATGTTTTTAATATTGTTATTTCTATAATTTCAGACTGAAGAATATTTTTAATATTGTTATTTCTATCATTTTAGACTGAAGGATGTTTTTAATATTGTTATATCTATAATTTTAGACTGAAGGATGTTTTTAATATTGTTATTTCTATAATTTAAGACTGAAGGATATTTTTAATATTGTTATGTCTATAATTTCAGACTGAAGGATATTTTTAATATTGTTATTTCTATAATATCAGACTGAAGGATGTTTTTAATATTGTTATTTCTATAATTTCAGACTGAAGGATGTTTTTAATATTGTTATATCTATAATTTCAGACTGAAGAATGTTTTTAATATTGTTATTTCTATAATATCAGACTGAAGGATGTTTTTAATATTGTTATTTCTATAATATCAGACTGAAGGATGTGTTTAATATTGTTATTTCTATAATTTCAGACTGAAGGATGTTTTTAATATTGTTATTTCTATAATTTCAGACTGAAGAATGTTTTTAATATTGTTATGTCTATAATTTCAGACTGAAGGATATTTTTAATATTGTTATTTCTATAATATCAGACTGAAGGATGTTTTTAATATTGTTATTTCTATAATTTCAGACTGAAGGATGTTTTTAATATTGTTATATCTATAATTTCAGACTGAAGAATGTTTTTAATATTGTTATTTCTATAATATCAGACTGAAGGATGTTTTTAATATTGTTATTTCTATAATTTTAGACTGAAGGATGTTTTTAATATTGTTATGTCTATAATTTCAGACTGAAGGATATTTTTAATATTGTTATTTCTATAATATCAGACTGAAGGATGTTTTTAATATTGTTATTTCTATAATTTCAGACTGAAGGATGTTTTTAATATTGTTATATCTATAATTTCAGACTGAAGAATGTTTTTAATATTGTTATTTCTATAAATTCA